TATAAGTAGCGCCTGTTAAATCAAAGCGTTACTGCTATATAGCAGTAGCGCGGGACAAAACAGAGCACTACTACTACAAAAATAGCAGTAGCGCTTCCCCTATAAAAAGCACTGCTACTATGACGACCAGAACCATTGCTGCCAGGCTTGGTATAGTAGTAGCATGCTTCTACCAACCGCGCTACTACTAACAAAATAGTAGCAGCGCGTTTTAAGGCGAAAGTGCTGCAACTAACAAAAGGAAAAGAAAAAAAGGGAAGAAGAGAAAAATAGTAGGGAGATAAGCGACAAATTATCAGAGCACTAATTACACTTCATAGGGAAACAAGCCAAGAGCCTTATCTCCACCAACATACAATACCCCTTCATGTTTTCCATAGTTAGAGTGTCATGCCATCATTTTGCCCATTAGAACATGCCAAGAGGAAAGCATTGAGAGTGACCCATACAACACTCCTTTTTTTCCATAACTATAGTGCCATATCATCATTTTGCATATGCGAACATGCTAATTAGAGCCAAACATTAAGAGTAAACTTAAACACAGTTGGTATACTTGTTTTTGTTGCCGCGAGGCCCTCCACTACCTCACACGGTCTCCTTACCCACACCGTTTTTTTTCAAACTGATATCACACATCCTCCCCATTTCTGGTTTTTATTACTATATTTACATTATACGTTAATTTTTGCCATTTACCTACACCGATTTCTTGACCCCTAATGACTTCCCACCTCCTTCTCGCCGCCTTTCCTTTTGAGCGCCCGTTCACCCCCAAGTCGCAGCTAAGAGCAACTCTAGCAGAGTTGTCATATTGGCAGCCTTCGTAACACATATGTAGCACGCTACATAATGTTTAGGAGGCTACGGAGACTGTGCGCGAACACATAGTCACCATAAATCAGCATGCATAAATTCCCCGCAAGTAAGGCCCACCTGTCATTGGGTCATAGATTCTTCGGCAATAATCCAAATTTCTGAAGAACACATAAAGAAGCATCGATTTCATCCCTATAAATAGGGCAGTAAATTAGTCGCACTACAACACTAACAATCCGTGGCAATGAATACGGTGGCTGGGGCGTGATTGGCGAGAAATGTGGCAACTTGGGCCCTGATAGCCTGGAAACTTACCTCGACGACGGCAACATTGCGAATCTCAATGCCTGAAAAAGGGCCTCGGCGCTCTTGTCCCAGGCCCGCCATGCATCGGTAGGGGCAGGCATGCGCGGTCCCAAATCCCTCTCTTTCTTTCGATGTCTTGCTTCTGACCCTCATCCATGGCCACTTCGTGAAGCCGAAAAGGGGCTTGGGGATCCAGCTTCTGCTGCTCCCCCTCATCCCCAGAACTGAAGATGAGAGGGTCACCTTCCGGTGGGCCATTTATGAGGGAGTAGTCGATTGGAGGCGAGCGAGAGGGGATTGGGAGGTATCGGTGAAATAATTGGATAAGGGGGAGAGGGGAGACTGCCACCATTTTTTAAGCCGTCGCAAGCTCATTTAAGCAGGCAGTTTGGGAGGCAACAGACGGCAGACAACCATCTAGGTGTGTGTTCCCTAATGAGAAACATTCTCGTGCTGCTCACATGCTTCTTGAACTCACAAGCAAGCTAGGAGATGATGTCGCATGGTGGCCATCCGATGGTCTACCAAGCGAATTCTAGAGAGCGATCGCGCCATCT